AAAAAATAGGAAAAAAGTCAATTAAATGCTTCATATTTGCTATAGCTAGCTTTTATTTTAATAGGTTAAATTTATTATAAAACAAAACTGAGAAGCCTGATATAACTGGATATAAAGCCCATTCCTATCTATTTTTAGGACCGAGGAAGAAAGGCAGTGTGGAATAGGGGAAGATCCTTAATCTGGGAGTTAGGAGACACTCAGGGTTGGCCTGGCACTGTGATTTTTGTTCAGCAGTTCACTTCATCTCGGGTTCCCTACCCATCAAATGACAGGGCTGGTCTCAAGGACAGGACCTTTCCAACTCTGAAATTCTGGAGCTCCTTTTCTTGGGTCCTAAAGCTCCTACTGTAAATGATTGCAGCCATCTATGATTGCACCTTGTCTGTTGTGATCTATTATTGTCCATATGATTAATTGAGTAACAAGTTCTTGTACAGGAAGGTAATCCCACATTAAAACATCCCAGGAGACAAATAAGCTCTGACTTGCAATAACATGGTGTTTAAGGTCTGGCGATGTCTAGATGGCAGGAGATGCACTAGTGATTTTAAAGTCAGTGAATTGTTTTTACTTTAATATGTAAGTGCTGACATTCCATTTTGACCCAGCATCATGCCACACTGAAAGGGCTTCCCAGTGATAAGAGGTGGAATTCCTAAGGGTTGAAGTGAGCAGGGAGAGAGATGTAAAAACTTCATTTCCAGCCTGAATCAAACCTCAACTGAAATTTAGGCAAACCTGGGTGATCCTCTGAGATTGCTCCTTGTGAACTGGTGATAAGATCTATTACCAGTCAATAAAACTGAACTTGAATTTGGCCTATTTTCAGATGCCTCCTGGGTTTTCACTTTGATTCTCTGATAGGAGAAATTGTGTTAAAGTGGGCTCACCTTCACCCTGGAATCTTGCTCAGTGCCCTTCACAGACAAAAAATAAGAAACTGAGTTGTCTCCAAGAAATACGTTTCTGGCTTCTGAGGCAACCTCTGAACTGGTGAATCCAGCTCAGGCCCCTCCTTCAAAGACCTGATGTTTATTTGGGGGCAAACATCTATACCAAATTCAAGTGGAAAGAGTGTTAGATGTACATGCAAAGCTGAGTGGATTCTCATGATGCTATGAGAATCTGGACCAGCTACTGCCGCACCTCCCATTTACCAGATAAATGAAAATAGAGGCAAGCTGATGTTAGCCTTCCAGTAGATGCTAACTGACCACTAAAACTCTTCTGTGTTCTATAAGAGTTCTGATGGCCGAAACTCCTGATTTCAAACTCCAGTATTGATAAATGAGTCCTAGAAGGTGGTTATCCATTTGTCACTAGTTGTCACTTAGAATAACATTTATATTCTCTCTTCTTCAAGTCCTTCTATTATTATTATACTTTAAGTTCTGGGGGACATGTGCAGAACATACAGGTTTGTTATCACAGGTATACATGTGCCATGGTGGTTTGCTGCACCCATCAACCTATCATCTACATTAGGTATTTCTCTTAATGCGATCCCTCACCTAACCCCACACCCCTGGACCTGACCTGGTATGTGATGTTCCCTTCCTTGTGTCCATGTGTTCTCATTGTTCAATGCCCTCTTATGAGTGAGAACATGTGGTGTTTCGGTTTTCTGTTGTGTTAGTTTGCTGAGAATGATGGTTTCCAGCTTCATCCATGTCCCTGCAAAGGACATGAACTCATCCTTTTCTATGGCTGCATAGTATTCCATGGTGTGTATGTGCCACATTTTCTTCCAGTCTATCATTGATGGGCATGGGTTGGTTCCAAGTCTTTGCTATTGTGAACAGTGCTGCAATAAGCATATATGTGCGTGTGTCTTTATAGTAATTTATAATCCTTTGGGTATATACTCAGTAATAGGATTGCTATGTCAAATGGTATTTCTAGTTCTACATCCTTGAGGAATCACCACACTGTCTTCCACAATGGCTGAACTAATTTATACTCCCACCAACAGTATAAAAGCATTTCTATTTTTCCACATCCTCTCCAGCATCTGTTGTCTCCTGACTTTTTAATAATCTCTATTCTAACTGGAGTGAGATGTATCTCATTGTGGTTTTGATTTGCATTTCTCTAATGACCAGTGATGATTAGCTTTTTTTCGTGTTTGTTGGCTGCATAAACGTCTCCTTTTGAGAAGTGTCTGTTCATATCCTTCACCCACTTTTTGATGTGGTTGTTTTTTTCTTGTAAGTTTAAGTTCTTTGTAGATTCTGGTTATTAGCCCTTTGTCAGATGGATAGATTTCAAAAATTTTCTCCCATTCTATAGGTTGCCTGTTAACTCTGGTGATAGTTTCTTTTGCTGTACAGAAGCTCTTTTTAATTAGATCCCCAATTTAATTGGAGACAGAGTCTCACTGTGTCACCCGGCTGCAGTGCAGTGGCTAGATCTCAGCTCATGGCAACCTCTGCCTCCTTCAAGTGATTCTCCTGCCTCAGCCTCCTAACTGGCATTACAGGCATCTGTCATCACGCTCAGCTAATTTTTGTATTTTTAGTAGACATGGGGCTTCACCATGTTGGCCAGGCTGGTCTCGAATTCCTGACCTCAAGTGACCCACCCACCTCAACCTCCCAAAGTACTGGGATTACAGGTGTGAGCCACCGAGGCTGGCTCTCAAGTCTTTTCAACCTGATAAAGTTACACTAAAATTTCTATTAGACCACTGAGGAATGTTAGTTTTTTTACTTAGGCCTGCCCCAACTTGTTTTACAAGATTTGAGGCTACTTACAAAAAGTACATCTGCTGAAAAAGGATAAAATGAAGAGTTATGAGAAAACACAGCCCCAGATGAGAAAGTGCAGTAGTAAGCCTGGAACGCAGCGAGCACAGACCCAGCACAGTGATGGCTGGGTGTGGGTTGCAAATTTGGCTCTGACCACCCCCCCGCCCCGTGCACAAAGCAAAGAAAGAATCATATCGATTACATGACTCCCAGTATTTCTAAGATTTTTTAGTTTCTCAGAAGAGGTCTGACTTTTCTTAGTGATGAGATGTGAGAGCTGTTTCTCCCTTGAGCCCTCATAAAGAGAACTGTAGATCAGTTAGGATAAACTTGCACTGTAAAGAACCAAAAACTCAAAATAACAGTGGCTTGAAGAAGATAGAATTTTTTTTTGAGAGTGCTATTATCCTTGTGAGAAAGAACATATCGTGATGTGAAGTGGGTTCGTGACTTGTGCAGAACTTCCCGTAAACAGCGAGAAAACCAGTGTTCAGTCCTGCATTTTGACATCCTGTCTAGTGTTAACATGGGACCCCCTGACCTGCATTACTAAGATGTAAAGAGACCAGATTCCTGCTTCCTATGTAATTTGTAGAGTGAGGCCAGGCTGCTCAGCAAATGAAGTCATAGCTTGTGGGTGCCACTGTCTGGAAGCATTGCAATCAATCATCAGTATAAGCAGTCCAGGGTTCAAATGGCCCTTGATGGGTGTCAGAAACTGAGAGCCTTGTTCCTCCCCACCATGGCCCAAGATTATCTTCTGCTCTGGCCAAAATGTCCCCTCCAGCTAGCAGGAAGGAGGGAGCAAGGACATACCCCCACCCTTTAAAGATAGATCCAGGAAGTTGTGGAGCACACTTCCAATACATCCTTTGGCCAGAACTTAATCACATGGCCATACCTTTCCAAGGAAAAGGCTGAAAACCAGAGTCTTTATTCCAGGCCTAGGTAAAAGCAAGCTTTCTGTTTATTAAAGCATAAAGGCAGTACTGTCATCCCTTGGTATCCATGGGGATCCCTTTGGATCCCAAAATCCACGAATGCTCAAGGCCCTGATATAAAATGGGGTATAATATACCCTCCCATGTCCTTTAAATCATCTCTAGATTGATTAGAGTGACTAATGCAATGTAAACTCTGTGTAAATAGTTGCTACACTGTATTGCTTTTTATTTATTAAAAGTTACCTTATTGAAACTTACTTTATCCCAGCTCTGGAGGCTGGAAGTCCAAGCTCCAGCAGTTTGGCAGGGCTGGTGTCCTCGGAGGCCTCTCTCCTTGGCTTGCCGGTGCCGCCATCGTGCTGTGTCTTCATCTTCATGTGGCCTTTCCTAAGTGCACAGGAACCCCTGCTGTCTCTCCTGGTGTCCTAATCTTCTCTTCTAAGAATACCAGGCAGATTCGATTAGGACCCACCCTAGTGGCCTTGTTTTAATTTAAAGATCCTATCTCAAAATTAGTTACATTCTGAAGTACTGGCAGGGGTTGCAGCTTCAATATATGAATTTTTGGTGGGGGGAGAGGAGGAAGCGGCTTGACTGGGGGGAACACAATTCAGTCCCTAATAGGCAGAATAGATATGTGAAGACAAGCTGTCATCCCTTGCCACGTAACCTGCTGGCATCCCTGTAACTGGATGAATAGAATTCTTTAGAATCTTCTGTTCTGGCTCACCTTTTAAATCCAAGACTCCTCAAATTGAATGCAGTGCTTTGGACCCATAGGTGCTCAGTGACTGCTTGCAGGCGATGGTGTTGACTCCCCAAGGAACCATGGGCCTGAGCAGAAACTAGAACTCAGGCTTTCTGATTCTCTACCACCTGCTCTGCCCAGCATGCTGCACTAACTCTTTTAAGTTCTGACAACTAATACACCACCACCCACCATATGGGAACTTCAAGTCATATGTTTTTGTGTCAGATTTTTCATATCAAAGATTACAAGGCCCTAAATCTTTGCACGATTCTAGGGCTTCTACAGAGACCCCAGCAGATATCAAGCTATTTTAAGCCCTTATATGAAAAGCCATTTGACTCCTTTCTGAAGCATTGTGCTTCATTTTGTTTTCTGTGGACTCTCTGCAGAAGTTTTAGGAGGTAAGGGCGAGTTGTCACAAGGTCAAAGCCAGCGTACCACAACTCTAGCAAAAGTTGGAAAATCACTGCCCTCACCTCAGTGGCCTCTCCCCTGGAGCATCCAGTTTGGACAAAGATAAAATGAGCCTCAAACTTGGAACAGTATTTTTTTTTCCTTCCACTTCTCGAACCAGCTTGCAAGCTGTCTCCCATTGAGCCAGAGTGAGACTTTACTTGGCAAAGAGAATTTCACCTAAAGTATGCCGACAGCCTTGCTCTTGGGGCACCTCTCAAATCCACCCCAGGATTCTAGGCTGCTGTTCTTCCCTAGAGCAGGACTTGGCCCCCAAGAGGCTGTCAAGTTTCCAGGGAGAGCCCTGTTGGCACAGCCTGAGACAGTCTCTTCTCCTAGTCCATTTCTGCCCTAGCAACAGCTACCTCCAATGCCGCTTTGGAAGCTGTACAATATAGCTAATTGTTTGCATTGGACAGTAGTGTGTTTAGAGCTTATGCATCTAAACAGACAATTATTTTCTGCTATTTGCTAGTGGCAATGCCTGCCTGGTGACTTTGGCAGATGGAGAAAGGAGCTAATCCATAGGTTATAAGCAGAAGGGTTACTGATGAAATGTCACCATCTGTTGGTGTCATTAAAATGATATGAATCATGAAGAGTTGCTTTTGTTTTTTCTCAGAAAAAGGTTAGCTCGAAGTTGAGAGACAAGTTGCTAGATTGTGGATAGTAGTGATGAACAGAGCTGGGGGAGGCATCAGTGCCAGAAGCGGGAGGAGCTTTAATGAACTCATCAGCTTGATGGGTCTTCAGGCAAGTTGACTGACCCTCTGCTGGAAAACAAATCCTCTCTCTCATGTGAGATGGAGTATTTATTAAGAATGCGGCAGTACCTGCAAGGCTCCCATGCCCATTTCTGGGGCATCTGCCAGGTGGGAAGGGGAAAATGATTCATTTGCGTTAAATAAGAATGATCACATCTGGGAGGGAACAGACAGGAAAATATACCTGTCTCCTTAATCCACATTGGCTCCATGGCACAGAGATTATTCACGTAGCCAGGTGACACCTTGAGAGGCTGGTGAGCCCAATAGGGAATAATATTCTCTACACCTGCTACATTCACAAGGGAGAGAGGAGGTGGCATAGAAGAGGGACCAGAGCCGGCACACCAAGCTTCCATCAAAGATGGGAGCTCTGAGGATGGAATCAAGAAAGCAATGGATGGAGTAACATGAGAATTTCATAGCAAAGAAATAGGAAGTGTGAGGTGTGCATTTATAAGGATCCAGGGGACCAAAATAAACGGCCAGCTTCCTGATTCTGCCTTATTATTATAACTAATCCCCTTAATTTCCTCATATTTGCTGTTTACAAATTCTTTTACCCACTGCCAAGGACATATACCCAAAGCAGAAGAACCTGTTGTTACCAACCTTTTTCAATATGGCTTGTTATCCCTTTTTTATTATTTATTTCAAATTTTAACTCCTAGAGAGAGTTGAAGAGATTGTATAAACCACTGCACATACTTTCGACAGGACCTCAGCTTTGCCAGATAAATATGAGATAGCACTGCTGCGAGCCCGGCCTCTCATCCAGTACTGACCCTCCTGGAGGCCAGCTGACCTAAGCCTGCCACACCTGCCACCTCTTTAGGGGCACAGGCGCTGAAGTAGGGTGCTGTTACTGTTTGGAAAGTGTGCGGTGCTGGAAGCAAGAGCCCCAGGAATGAGAGCTTTAGTCTAAAGTTATTTATATGATCTCAAAAGGAAGCATCAGTGGAAAAGTTCCTGTTGATATTTTTAGATCTCATGCGTGGTCCACTGCTGCACTTTCATTTTTAAACAAGCAGGGAAGCGAGTGATTGATGATGTCTACAGTGCTGTTTTAGAAGTGCTGAGGGCCCATCTGACAGGCTAATGGTCACCCTGCTGGGCCCAGATCCTCCCTCCGTCTCTTCCAGCTCTGACTTCAGAAGCTGCTGACTTCAGTGGCTGACAAATAAAACGCTGGCCACTGGCTGCCAAGTCAGAAACTCTGAAGTTTGTTCCCTGGCTCTGACACCCAAGTCAGTGTCTTGCTCGACTTCTGCCTTCTGTTTCTGAGGACTGAGGCATATGTTTGCATAAGTCACCTTTGGCTACAAGTACAATGGTTTAGAATTCAACTGTGGTTAAGCAGGTGAAAAAGTCACAACCTGAGAAGGGTGTGGGGGTGAGAGGGAGAAATGAAGAGAGGTTGGTCAATGGATACAAACTTAGTTAGAAAGAAGAAATCAATTCTAATGTTTCATGGGAGGCTAGGGTAACTATGGCTAGCAAAAACACACTGTATATTTCAAAGTAACTAGAAGAGAAGGCTTGGAACATTACCACATGTAGAAATGATAAACACTCAAGGTGATGGAGACCCCAAATACCCCGACTTGATCATTAGACCTTCAATGCATGGGGAAAAAAAAATGTACCCCATAAATATGTAAAATATCAATGAAAGAAAAAAAAACTCACCACTACACAAAATCGATGTGCTTGACTCTTCCAAGGCCAGTGGGAAGTTAACCTCTCTTAGTAGTATTACTGAATTGTTTCTGTGGTTACTTTCATTTGCCTGATGGAGATCAGTGTTCTAAAAAACAAAGAGAGAAAGAAATATTATCAGTGCTCTCCTTCCCAAGGAATCTGAGTCTTGTGACTCTGTCTTCGAGGAAATGGGAAGATGGGGAGATGGTGGTCATCAAGTCTTCTCCTCCACGGACACAGTTTCTCATAAGAAGGTGGTGAATGGTAGTTGTAGCCCACTCCAGTTGAATAATCAGTTGATGAACATGAGAAGCTGATGAGTGTTCAAGGAGAGAAAACAAAATTCTTACATGCTTATGGGTTGGCAATGTTCCTAGGGCCGTTTGTTCCTAGGACTCAGACTATTGCTGTTTCTTACAAACCTCAAAAACCCATGTATGAAGCCACTGGCTTGAGTCCGGAAAACTCCTGTTAAGATACGGAGCTTCCGCCCTTGCTTTGTGCTCCTACTGTTGTGCCTGTGTATATTTCTTTTTTTTTTTTTCTTTCATTTAATTGTACCTTTTCTACCACAGACCACAGAGACAGCTGACGATGAGGAGGACCAGCCTCTCAGCCTTGCCTGGCCTTCCGAAACTCGCAAGCAAATCACGTTTCTGATTGTTTTCCCCATAGTGTTTCCTCTCTGGATTACCTTACCTGACGTTCGCAAACCTGTAAGTAAAGCATTTTTAAAATAGTTTCCTTGTAAAAAGTATGGTACATAACAGGGTGCATCTGCTTCAAATTGTGTTGAAAGGAAAAAGGAAGTACACTTGTATAAAAATTTCACATGTACCCTATAAATAGGTACAACTATTATGTAACAAAAAAAATTTATTTAAGTTTAAGGAAAAGGAGAAAGTGTATATAAGATACAAATTTCTCTGGGTAATCACGCAGTTATGGTGATTGTTCAGATTATCAGATCTGTGTAACAAACTACCCCAAAACTTACTGGTGTGAAACAGCCAGCATTTTAGTCTGTCGATCAGGAATTTGAATAGGGAACACTGTGGAGGGCTTGTCTCTGCTCCATAATGTCTGTGGCCTGAAGCAGGAAGACTTGAAGGGTTACTTGTGTCTTGTCTTGGGGTCACAATCATCTGGGGGCTTCTTTGCTGTTTCTGGCACCTGGGCAGAAATGATTCAAAGGCTAGGCTCAGCTGGGACTGTCTACTGGAATGCCTAAACGTGGCCTCTTCATGTGACTTGGGCTTCCTCATAGCATGGTGGCCTCAGGATAGTGAAGTGTTTTACATAAGAGGTCAGTCAGGACTCCAGAGTGAATGTTGCAGTGACAGAAGACAGAAGCTGCATGGTCTGTGATGATCCCATCCCAGAAGTTACAGACACTCACTTCTGCTTTACCTTACTGAACAAAGCAGTCGTAAGTGTGTCCTGATTAAAGGGGAGGAAACAAAAAGTCTACCTAGAAAAGATCAGTTTCATATGGCATGTCACTCTCCTGATGGGAAGAGTGTCAAAGAATTTGCAACCATGTTTTAAAACCACCACAGTGATCATCTCTGAGAAAGGCCGCTGAAGGTCTGAAGCAGGAAGGCTACTCACTTTTTCTTACATATTCTTGAGACTATGAATATTATTACTTGATTAATTCAAAAAATAATTTAAAGAGATGCATTTATGTAGTATAAAGGCCTACATGTCTGATGTTCTCTCTCTTATGTTACTATCATTACTTTAATCAATTTTATTATCTACCGTTACATACTGGGTGTTCCGAACACAACATCAGCAAAGTACAATCTGAGTATAGACCAAACCAAGAGAATACCCCCACCCACTGTTGTTGAAGTGAATCCTTGGGCCATTGCCCCAGAGGTTAAAAAAAAAAAAAAAATCTAATGAGAAAGAAGGAAAAGCAGCTCTACCTCTTAGTATAGCACCACATACACAAATTCATTCAACAAAACTGTATACCTAATATGCATCAGATTCTGCACTAAATGTTCCTCATGAGTGCATAGAACAGCACACAGTGTACTCGGAAATCCAGTCTATCCCAGGGCTGGCACTTGGAGCAATGAGAGAAAGCCCCATGGCTACCCTGCCCACGCTGCAGGGGCTGGCCGTGAAAGGGGGACTGCACAGGGAGGAGAGCGTCAGGGACAGCTCCATTTGCCTGTTCTGTGCATCAGCCAGGGCGGTTGTTATAGTCCAGGTAACAACTGCCTTGATTGATTCCTGTTGATTTGCCAGCAGTTGCCAGTCAGGAGACTTTGATCTTCTCTAATACCTTCTTGATCTTTCAACTCAGATTGTCAAAAGGATGAACATTTTGCCAGCATTTATTCTGAAAGTCCTTCCCAACCCCGAAAGCCCAGGGCCTTGAGTCATTAGCCCCCAGTGAACTACACTGTGGAACTTCAGCAAACATCTAGGGTAGGAATCTGTATATTACTGGCATAAGTAGAAAGAAACTTAGGCACAAAGAAGCTAACATAGACCCAGGTGTATGTGACCACGTTGCTTGGCCTTTTCTTCATATTTTTATGATGCCAGAGGTAGAAAACTGGGAAAAAAAAAACATTTCTAAAAGCACTTGGAATAGAATATTTTGATAACTTCCAGTATAATTTATCTTAAGTCTCCAAGCGCTCCCTCATTTGAAAAAGAAGAAAAACCCCATCCCATTCACCTGGCCCTTAAATAATGCAGCCTAGTGGAGAGCCAGGTCTTGTCAAGTAGGCAACAAGCAAGGACTACTTCTTGTAGGGACTCCCAACAGAAGAGGGTTCCTGGTAAAAGATGCATGACACAGGTGTGGCTCACTTAAAGCAATATTTAGGTTTCTTTATTCAAGATGCCATTATAGAGCATCTGCACTATGCAAAGACCTGTCCCTTCCTGAAAACCCACAAGCAAACAAACAGTTGAATGTGTTTGATTTTTCTTGGCTCATACCACATTGACATTTCTGAGATACGCTTGCTTTCTCTCCCGCTCCCTCTTCCCCCCATTGCTCTGCTGTTTAGTGCAATGCTTTTGTTTGGCCCTAGGGAAGAAAATCAGGGAGTGACAGATACAGTTTTCTAAATTCCCAAAAAGGACGTCATGTGGTGTGGCCCCCAGCAGAGGGGCCAGTTGGCTGATGAGAGGATGTTTGCACACAATTGTTGAGGCAGTCAGGAAGATGTGCAGGAATGGGAGGAAGATGCCAGGAAGGCAAGGCCCTTGGCTCTCAGGGTTAGGAGGAACTCTCAGAGAAAGGGCTGGCAAAGTGTTCATCCTCTTGGTAATTCGAGGTGAAAGGTCAAAGAAGCTGTTAGAGAAGATCAAAAGCTCCCAACTTCCTAACTGGTAACTTTTGGAAAACCAACAAAAGTCAATCAAGGCAGTCGTTACTGGGTCAGGACAACTGCTCTGGCTGGTGCTACAATCCCAAAAGGCACAGAGCAAGAAAACAGAGCTGTCCACAGTGTCCTTCTCCCTGTGCAGTCCCCCTTTGGGAGGTGGCCTCTGCAGCATGGGCAGAGTAGCCAGTGGGGATTTCCTTCATTGCTCCCCCAAGTGCCAGCCCTGGAATGGACTGGATTTCTATTCTTTTTCTGAGTATACTCTATGCTGTTCCAAGCAGAAATGAGAGACACTTATGAAGGACACTTTTTTCAACTTCCTTCATAAATAATATTTATTGAGCACCTATTATGTGCCAAACACTGGGTCTCCACTAGTGTTTAAGAGATCTAAAGACACAGAATTGGCCAGTGCAGTGGCCCACACCTGTAATCCCAGCACTTTGGAAGGCTGAGGCTGGTGGATCACAAATTCAAGAGTTCAAGACCAGCCTGGCCAACATGGTGAAACCCCCTCTCTACTAAAAAAACAAAAAATACAAAAATTAGCCAAGTGTGGTGGCAGGCACCTGTAATCCCAGCTACTTGGGAGGCTGAGGCAGGAGAATTGCTTGAACCTGGGAGATAGAGGTTGCAGTGAGCCAACTGCAACCACTGCATTCCAGCCTGGGCGACACAGCAAGACTCTGTCTCAAAAAAAAAAAAAAAAAAAAGAAAATGTACAAAATTCACTATTTCTATTGTTAAGGAGCTCTAAGTTTAGTAAAGGAAACCAGGCATGGCCACATATAACCACAGAGCAAGATTGTACAGCTGTGCAAGAGAAGCTGGACTTGAACCCAAGTCTCTTGACTCCAGAGCATTTTCATTCTACCACACTGACAGTGAAGGATTTTACCCCCACAACTGATGAGCTGTACAACATTGGGAAAAACACTTCTTAACCCTGGGCCCCCATTTTTTCTCCTCTGTGAATCAAGGGTTGGAAGGTCTCTAGATTCCCTGCCAGCCATGACATTCTGTAATTAAGGAGAGCATAAAAAGATAACCATCAATAAGCTATTGCACATGTAAGGTGAGCATACATCCCAGTTTATCCAGGACAGTCCCACCTTATTCTCAAAGCACATTGGTTTGGAAGATAAATTATATGGGTATATTCTGCATAAACGATATACCAAATGAAAGAAACCATGCCAGTTAACACAAAAGCCTATAAGTGATCATGCTTAGTTAGAATATTGTTAGGTTTGACCTTCTATCAGTTATCTTCTGCTGTATAATATACCATCCCAACCTAGTGGCTTGAAACAAGGCATTTTTTAACCCATAATTTTGTGGATTGGCAATTTGGGGTGGGCTCAGCTGGAAAGTTCATCTGCTGGTCTTAATGGTGCTCACTTAACATGGCTGGGAGCTGGTTGGCATAGGGCTGTCGCAGCTTGAACACCTTGTCTTTGCTCTGCATAGTCTCTTATACCAAAGCAGGCTAGCCTGGACTTATTCACACAATGGCAAAGTGCCAAGAACATCAAGCATGAAAGCTACAAAGTGCTCTTGAGATCTAGTTTGAAATTTGCACACAGTCACTTCCAATACATTCTATTGGTCAAAGCAAGTCATAAGGCCAGCACAGATTCGAATGATGGAAAAATAGACCTCACCTCTTGATGAGAGGAGGAGCAAAGTATTGTGCCGATTTTTGCAATCCACCATAGAACTCATGTACTTCCACAAGGAACTCTTGAAAAAATATCTAGGGAGAGGAAAGAGAGAGGAAAATTATTAACTAATACATATCTGCTCCACCTTAGGGCCTGGTAGCTCTGCCTCCTCCCTAGATTTTGATTACCCAGGGAGACAAATCTTGATATTAATTACAAGGAAAACATGATTTTGTAATGTATACATATGGTTTCAGAGTATATAGTAACTCCCACTAGCTTTTATTTCTGCTTCATTTATCTGCAAATTGTATGACAGTGTTTGTTGAACCATGCATAATTTTAACTCATATTAATTAATATGGGCTTCACACTTACAGTTTTCTTAAATTAATAGCTTTCTTTCAAAAGTAAAAGAACTAAAATAATAAACCTCAATGAGGAACAAGTCTTTGATGAAAATTGAAAATAATAAACAAATTAAAGACCCAAAAAATTATCTTCTCTCATGACTAGGATAGGTACTCCTGCAATACAAGAATTCATATAATGAGATATTATAACATGGCCCATTAAAACTAGGAAGGAACCTGAGAACTCAGCTAGGTGTTTGCAATTTCTGTTATTCATTCACCAAGTATTTATTGAGTGTCTATTATGTACCAAGCAAGGTCTAACAAGGATAAAGTAATT